GTGGTTGCCACCCACATGACCCAACCAGGGCCAGGGACAAACTGCAACCGAGGCACGTGCCCCTAGCAGGAACCGAACCTGGGTGTCTTCAGACTGCAGGCCAACGCTCTAACTGCTGAGCCAAACCGGCCAGGGCAAGGCCTTTGTTCTTTTGGTGAGCCCTTCCCTGGGGCCGCAGACAGCTACCATACCTGGGACGCTAGCAATTTGCCTCACACTCTTTGCCCCCGCCCTGGCGATTCTCTGAGGCCTGACCCACTCAAGTTTCAGGCCCACCCAAGCTATTGCCAGGTGCTTTAACATAGATTGGCCTGTCTTGGATCCTGCTTCAGGTTTTCCTAAATTCTTTCAAACAAGCAGCATCTGGTCTCAACTGGCTCCATACCTCTCGTTAAGTAATACATAGAAGCAGGCACAGGGAGGCATCCAGAATGAGGAGACAAAGAAACGGCCCAGTTGAAAGAACAGAACAAAACTCCAGGAAAAGAATTAAGCGAAATGGAGATAAGCAACCTAACAGTGCTGAGTTCAAAACACTGCTTATGCCCTGGCCGGTTTGGCTCAGTGGTTAGAGCGTCGGCCTGTGGTCCAGAGAGACCTGGGATAGGTTCCCGCTAAGGGCACGTACCTCGGTTGCAGTTTGTCCCCGGCCCTGGTTGGTTGGGCGGGTGACAGCCACTTGATGTGTCCCTTTCATGTCGATGTTTCTCTCTCTCTCTTCCTCTCTCTCCCTCCGGCTCTGTCTGAATAAAAAGTGGAAAAATGTCCTCGGGTGAAGATAAAAAAAAACAAACAAAAATAACCACTGCTTATAAGGATGCTCAGTGAACTTAGTGAGGGCCTCAAGGGCATAAAAAAAGGACCAGTCAGAAATGAAGGATGCACAGTCAGAAATGAAGGATGCACAGTCAGAAATGAAGGAGGCACAGTCAGAAATAAAGGAGGCACAGTCAGAAATGAAGGAGGCACTAATTGAAATAAAGAATAATTTACACAGATTTAATAGTAGAGTAGGTAAAGCCAAGAAGCAAACTATCAAGTTGGAATATAAGGAAGCAAAAAAAAAAACCACCCAATCAGAACAGCAAAAAAGAAAAAAGAAGCCAAAAAAATGAGTATAGTGTAAGGAGCCTCTGGGACAACTTCAAGCATGCCAACATTCGCATCTTGGGGGTGCCAGAAGAAGAAGAGCGCGAACAAGAAATCGAAAACCTGTTTGAAACAATAATGGCAGAAAACTTCCCTAAATTGGTGAAGGAAACAGACATACAAGTCCAGGAAGCACAGAGAGTCCCAAACAAGATGAACCCCAAGAGACCCACACCAAGACACATCATCATCAAAATGCAAAAGATTCAAGACAAAGAGAATCTTAAAAGCAGCAAGAGAAAAGCAGTTTGTTACCTACAAGGGAGTTCCCATAAGACTGTCAGCTGATTTCTCAAAAGAAACTTTGCAGGCCAGAAGGGAGTGGCAAGAAATATTCAGAGTGATGAAAAGCAAGAACCTACAGCCAAGATTACTCTATCCTGCAAAGCTGTCATTTAGAATCGATGGCCATATAAAGAGTTTCCCAGACAAGAAAAAGTTAAAGGAGTTCATCACCACCAAACCATTATATGAATAAGATATTTTATCTTTTCTTCAAAAAGATAAAATATATTAACAAACAAAATGGCAATGAATACATATCTATCGATGGTTGAATCTACACACAAAATGAACATACAGAACAGAAACGTTCTCATAGATACAGAGAACATTTTGTTGGTTGCCAGATGGGAGGGGGCTTGGGGGAATGGGTGAAAAGGTGAAGGGATTAATAAGTATAAATTGTGCCCTGGCTGGTTTGGCTCAGCGGTTAGAGCGTCGGCCTGCGGTCCTGAGAGACCCGGGTTCGGTTCCCGCTAAGGGCGCGTACCTCGGTTGCAGTTTGTCCCTGGCCCTGGTCGGTTGTGTGGGTGGCAGCCACTCGATGTGTTCCTTTCACATCGATGTTTCTCTCTCTCTCTCTGTTCCTCTCTCTCCCTCCCACTTGACCTGAACAAAAAAAAGAAGTACAAATTGGTTGTTAGACTGACAAACCTCAAAGTGAAGGGGGTTAGGAGGTGGGAAGAAATAAACCAAAGAAGCTATGTGTATATATGCATAACCAATGGACACAGACAACAGTGTAGGGGAAGGCAGGAGGGGGGCGGGAGTGGGGAGGAGGGGGTCATTGGAGGAAAAATGAGAAACATCTCATTTAGCAATAAAGATAAGTTAAAAAAAAAAAGTTAGAAATAGATCCCTGGCCCGTTTGACTCAACCATTAGAGCGTCGGCTGCGGAGCAGTGAGTTGTAGGTTTGATTCTGGTCAAAGGCATGCACCTTGGTTGCCATTCTTCCCCCGGCCCAGTAGGGTTGTGCAGGAGGCAACTAGTTGTTGTGGCTCTATTACATTGATGTTTCTCTATGTCTCTCTCACTCTCCCTTCCTCCCACTCTACCTAATGATAAATAGAAAAATATCCTTGGGTGAGGAAAAAAAGTTAGAGACCTGGCTGGGTGGCTCAGTTGGTTGGAACATCTCTCCAGTGCACCAAAAGGTTGTGGGTTCAATTCCTGGTCAGGGAACATACGTCTGGCAACTGATTGATGTGTCTCTCTCATGTCGATGTTTCTCTCCTTCTCTCTTCCTCTCTAAAATCTCTAAAAACATAGCCTTGGGTGAAGATTTAAAAAAAAAATAGAACTACCATATGACTCAGCAATTTCACTTTTGGCTATTTATCTGAAGAAAACAAAAACTGATTCTAGAAGATATGCATCATATTCATTGCAGCATTATTTACAATAGCAAAGACATGAAAACAGTCTAGGTGTCCATCAGTGGATGGATGGAAAAAGAAACGGTGGTGTATATTTACCCAATGGAATATCATTTAGCTATAAAATAAAATTATGCCATTGGTGACAACATGGATGCACCTTGAGGGTATTATTCTAAGTGAAACAAGTCAGAGAAAGACATATCATCTGAACTCACTTATAAGTGAAATCTTAAAACAAGCAAAAACCCAAGCTCAGAGTTACAGAGAACAAACACATTGGAGGTTGCCAGAGGGTGTAAGGTTGGAGTGAGAAAAAAAATGGGTGAAGGATGGTCAAAAGGTACTAACTTGCATTTATAGAAAAAGGGGGGAGGGATATAATATAAAGCATGGCGACTACATCATCAGGGAAATGCAAATCAAAATGAGGGTGGCGGGAGACTGAGGAGAGGGTATGGAGGGATAAATGGTAATGGACAGTTAAGGATGTACAATACAATGTGCAGGTGATGTGTTATAAGATTGTGCACCTAAAACCTGTATAATTTTGTTAACCAGTGCCACCCAATAAATTCAATAAAAAAGAAAAAATAACATAATGAGATTATACAGTGTTATAGTTAATAATACTGTATAACATATTTGAAAGTTTTAAAGGAATAGATCTTTTTTCATTTATTTTATTTATTTTTCCCTTTATTGATTTTTAGAGAAAGAGGAAGGGAGAGGGAGGGAGAGAGAGAGAGAGAAATATCCATGAGAGAGAACATCAACTGGCCACCTCCTGCACGCCCCCCTGGTCCACAAGCCGGGCGTGTGTCCTGACTGGTAATCAAACCGGTGACCTCTTGGTGCGTGGGTCAATGTTCAACCACTGAGCCGCACTGGCTGGGTGTGATGAGAACTTTTAAGATCTATTGTTTTGTTCGGCCGGTGTGGCTCAGTGGTTGAGTGTTGACCCATGCACCAGGAGGTCTCCTGTTCGATTCCTGGTCAGGGCACACACCTAGGTTGTGGACCAAATTCCCAGTAAAGGGCGTGCAGGAGGTGGCCAATCAATGTTTTCTCTCATCGATGTTTCCATCTCTCCCTCTCCCTTCTCTCTCTAAAATTAATAAAGAAGAAAAAAAAAAAAAAATATATATATATATATATATATATATGTTCTCATCACAAGAAAATTTTGTAATTATGCATGGTAATGAATGTTAATTAGTGTTATTGTGATCATTTGCAATATATAAACAGCAAATGGTGATATATACCTGAAACTAATATGTTATTTATACCTCAGTTAAAAAAGAAGCCACTAAATCTAGCCTACACTTAAGGGAGGAGTATAATTTTTGGACATATTTTAAAACACATATAGTGTAGTTACCTGTTGTTGAGCTTTAGAAATAGGGAACATCTAATTGGCTACTTCCATTGTTATATTGATCGGCCTGATAAGTAAAGTGGGAATCAGGGAGTTAACGGTACATACCATGTGAACTATATCTCAGTAAAGGTGGGTAGAAGAGAAAAGATGCTTATCATTCAGAAAACAGGAGATCAAGAGGCAAAATTCTTTCATTGGTTTTCTTTTTCTGAGACATTATGCCATTGTCTCTGAGTATCAATTACACATTAGGATAAAGCACTGGTTATATGTGCCATCTTTAAGTGTTTAGAACAAGACGTTCAAGCGTGATTGTGTTTGTTATGAGTATTTGAAACATGTTGATATGTCTTTGTAAAATGGAATTGTTCTTAAACATTTATTTTAAAGGATTCATTAAATAGAATCTTCTACAGAAACCCAATGTGTAACATAAAAAGGGAACTATCCTTGTCACAGGGAAATGGGCCCTGAATCTTATTGGCTTAGCATCTTTTACATCTTTTACTCCTCATATTACTACCAGGGGTCCAAGGAACACAGATTGAAAACTACACTATGGAATCAGATTTCTTTCCAGCCTAATTCACAAAAATCTATTAATGCGTATGATAGCAGAGGTCAGGAAGATAGTCATAATAGCAAAAGAGCGCTCTACTAGGTAGCAGATTGATTTCTGGTGCTATATACTATATAATAGTGAAAAACCATAGTGGCTTGGAGAAGGAGATGGTGTGATTGGTTAGCCATGGATATTTGTAGAGTACTTTAGTCTGTTGTCTTATCTACTTTTTTATTTTCCAACAGAATAATACAACAGATATTTGCAGGGTTCTTTGCAAATTCTGCAGTTTCTGGTGGATCCCCACACCCTTTTACCTGGTAAGTAACTAATTACCGTTTTTAAATTCTGCTGGAGTAGCATCATTTTAGCTGCTATAGTATCTGTGCCATGGTAAGAATGAGGAAGATCTGCATGGGTAAGTACACAGATGTGATTGGCAGGCTGTTAGGCTGCCATTATTTGCTGAGTCCAAACAATTAAACCTTATTTTTTATTGTTCAGGCTCACAAGGGCCATTCTGTTCTCCAGGATGCCTGGGCACTGGATGTGTCTGATTCTGGGTTATGTTGAGGTGGGGAATGAGTTAGGTCCCAGGCTTGGTATCTGATTTGTGGGTTTCTCCTAATCATATGGCAAGATTTTATTTTTTAAGAATTTCTGAAATTGAAAACATAATGCTTAACTTCCATTTTTTTTCAAAGTAAAAAGGTTCATCAGAAGAAACAAAAGGCTATATATATATAATTCAGTATCTTAGTGACACTTATGTGTGGTCGGAGTTAAAGATGGGATCTTCTCTTGTCTGGACAATTATTTGTCACTTCTGACTCTGCCCCAAAAATCTTTTCTTTGCTCAGAGGGACCTCAGTTCATCCACACAGTTACCCTATTTTTCAACCTCTAGTTTCTCTAAATGTATTCCCTCTGTCAACCAGGATAGTGCACCAGCAGCTCCAAAAGAAGATGCTGCCAAGTCTCTTTTCTAATTGTTTAAGTTGTGATTCAGAGAGACTGCTGTAGCTGCTTCTACATGATAGCTCCTCATTGTCCAGGACCACGGGTGGCCACTCCAAATGAAAGAGGTCTGTTATAGATTTTGTCCAGTCACAAAGGGAAAACTCTTTTCTAAAAGCTGCTCTATCTATGTTTAATGTAAGTGGGCACATAGAAGACAAATTTTTCTTAACCAACAGTTGATAAGTCCTTTTGCTCTTGTGTGTCATGTGGTATTTTTGGTAGCTTCAAGATTTATATTCAGTTTAGGGAAAATTCCTAGAGAATGGGAGACTATTTGGATAATCTGTTTGACCTTGAAAATACTGAGACATTATTTGCCACTTGATTTTAGAAATTCTTTCCCACTAAGTGACATTGCAGGTTTGAGAGAGAACAGGATCCCCCTGCCAGTTTTTCTGTGGTGTAAGACAGAGCTTGGTCACTTCATCTAATACTGTCTGTCTCATATCATGTATAGGAGCGGGATGCTGCACTCCAACCCTGGGGACTATGCCTGGGGTCAAACAGGGCTTGATGCCATTGTAACCCAGGTGAGGAGCTGCCTTTTGAAGGTGTCTGTTCAGTGTGTCTCATGGTTCCGCAGGCTTCCTGCTTTCCTTCTGCTACTTTCTGAAATGGCTGTCACTCTGCTTTCTTTAATATTTTAAACTTGTGGGTTTACATTTTACTAAAGGGATAAATGGTTTACTGGTTTAGCTCAGTATCCATCTACTAGATCCTCGGGCCTTTTTGAAGATGGCTTCACCTCCAAAGGAAAAAAAGATTTTTTGCCCTGGCCGGGTTGCTCAGTTGGTTAGAGCATTGTTGCAATACACCAGGGTTGTGGGTTTGAGCCCCAGTCAGGGCACATACAAAAATCAACCAGTGAATACATAAATAAGTGAAACAACAAATTGATGTTTCTCTTTTTCTCCCTTCCTCTCTCTCTCTCTTAAAAAAAATTTTTTTTAAAAAAGATTTTTCCTATAACAAACAGTATTTTGCATTTTTGGCCTCTTGTTCAGTCCTGTGAGGATCCTATTAACAAGTTACTTCACAAAAAAAGGAAGGTCTCCTCATGTGCTGAAGCAGGGATTTCTGCTAGATGGAGCAAAGTAGGGGAAGGAAGCAGAGAAAAAGGTATTCTCATGCCATGTATAATTGTTTCCACTTGTTAATATTAATTTTAATTTAATTGATTTTTCATTTCCCTTGTGGATTGGTGAGAATAGAAAGCATGTTGTTTATATCCAAATCCTGTAGGCAGTAATTTACTTATTTCTTGGCTTACCTTATGCTACTTTTCATGCTCCCACCCTTTTCTTTCTTCCAGCAAAATGTTTTTGGATTAGTTAAGTATTACTTTTTATTAAGCTTTAGCTTTGTTTATGATGTCACAACCATTTTGCTGCCTCTAAAGTTGCTTTGTGCCCCTAAGTGGGCTTTGCAATGATAGGATCTACCTGTAGACTTATACATGTGTCACTCTGAAGTTGTAAAGCAATGATGAGTGTTCTGGCGGCAGTGAAAAGGAAACCCGTGCCTCTCGGAGCCTTATAGAAGAGCAGCCAGCATTTCTAATACCTGCACTGTTTGTTCTCAACTAGAGCAGCTCATTACACAGGGATAATTAGATGTCTACCACTTCTTTTTTGTTTTGTTTTTTTTATAGCTTTTAGGACAGCTGGAAAACACTGGGCCTCCCCCAGCCGACAAAGAAAAGATCACATCTCTTCCAACAGTGACAGTGACTCAGGAACAAGTTGGTAGGTTCAATTTCTGTCATCCTCTGATCTCTGTTCAAAATTCCAGCACCTTCCTGTACTAAGGATCTTCAAGTGAATTTACAGCATTCTTAAAATTCCTACCTGGGAGCTGTGTAAGAAAGGCATTTACCCTCTTCATTAGGATTAGTCAGCAGGTATTTCCTGAGCAATTACCATGTCCCTTTTCTAGATGCCTTGCAGGAAGTAGAGGTACAAAGATATATAAGACTTGATTTCTTGAAGAATTTTCTAGGGGAAGCAAAACTCTAAATAATTAGATAACAGTGTAAAAAATATTGTTAAGTAGATGCTACTTACTGACTCTGGGGAAATAGAAAAAGATGTAAATGAGAGGCTGAGAATTTGTTTCATATCTACTCAATAGTCAGGTACATTAGAAATAGATATTTTATTTATAAACACGAAGAATTTAGTGATAAAAGGACCTTATTTTGGATTGGGAGTTTCTTTCCTCACACATTTAGAGTCAGAGATTTTAAAGACAGGATGGGCACCTTAGGTCATTCTATTTAAGGAAAAGTATGAACCAGTATAAAAATGTCGGTATGGACATGGTGTCTGAATCAGGTATAAGGAAAGTGACCTTGTTAGACCTGAAATAGGTTTGGGGAGTAATGGGAGGTATGACTGAATAGGAAGGGTGGGGCCTAGTTATAGAGGTCACTGAAGCTGTGGCAGAGTAGTTAGGGCTGAATATTTTAAGGGTAGGTAAGTTTTATAGGTCCACAAATGGAGGAATAAGGAAATTTAAGTGGTCTTTAGAGTAGATTAGTTTGGAGATGGTGTCTAAAGTAGATTGGAAAGGGAGTAAAGAAAGCAGAAACAGGAATTTAAGGGGGGCTGTTGCAGTGTCCAGGTGGAGTTCAGAGGATGGTGACAATACTGACTGAGAGGAAAGGGTTGGATATAGAAGACAAAGGCTTTCCTCACTGATTGCATACTGGATTGAAGGAGGGGAAAGGGTCAAAGATGATTCTAAGATAATGCAACTTTGTAACTACAGAGGTGGTGCTGCCACTGTCCGAATGAGGGAATTGTTAGTACGCCCAGCTTTAGCAAGGAGGTTATATAATGTTTTAAATTTTGAATTTGTTGATTTTTGAGATACCAGCTGAGAATTCGAGTGAAGATGAACTAGGGAGTGCTGTGTGCTGGTATTAGGGGAAATGAGCAGGTACCAAAGTGTAGTCTATATTTGTAGAGTTGAAGGCCCGGAGTTAGGGGAATCCTACATGGGAGGCTGTTACAGCCGATTAGGCATAAGAAGTAAAAGCTAGATTTAGGCCAGAGGTGGTGGGAATGGAAAGGAAAGAGTGAGTCTGCTAAGTGGTTGTCTTACTCGAGCTGCCTTGAGTTTTGTGGGGCACGGAGCCGACCCCTGCTGCTGGAGAGAGAGACTAGCTGATGTTCTCAGAGAAGGAGGCTTCCTGTCTCTGGGCTTGGAGCCTGGGCTGCCCTAGAGCTTTGCAGTTCTGCAGCACCACCTCCTGGTACAGTTTTTAATTACAATTTGTTCAGAGGGCATTAGGGCAACCATGCTGGAAGAGGACGCATACTGTGGAAAATAGTAGGGTAAAAGTGGTTTGAGACACTGAACGGAAACAGCTAAGATTACTGAGATGAGTCCCTTGATTGTCATGGACAGACTTGCAGTGTTTCTTAAGTGGAAACTGCCAGAAATCTATCACACATTGGGAAAGTGTTCCTGTTTTACCTAACAGATAAGCTCTAGAGTTTATTTCTTCCAACCTTTAACATGGAAAAGTAGGCCTTACATATTTCCTATCTAGATCTTATCAGAATAGGCCCATTCATCAGTCCTCCTTTTCATATCCTCGTCTACTACCACTTCCAAAACCGTTTTGAAGTAAAATTAATACTTCCTACCTGCCTCCACCTTGGATGCCCTTTGTGTCTTTTCTTCATGCATTCCTTTGGTCGGTAAAGAAATTGGGCTAGTATTTTCTTCCTTCCTTCTTTTTGCTTGTTTACTTTAAAAAGCATTTCCTCCTCTAACAGATATGGGTTTAGAGTGTCCAGTATGCAAAGAAGATTACACAGTTGAAGAGGAAGTCCGGCAGCTACCCTGCAACCACTTCTTTCACAGCAGTTGTATTGTGCCGTGGTTGGAACTGGTGAGTACAGACAGCCTTTATCTGTAACAAGGCAGCTCTGCCAGTCTCATCTTGTCAGGGGAATGGTTCAGACTAAGGGTATAGTGAACAGTTAATGAAGGTTAGATTTTAGTCCCCGGCTAACTCCTAGTAAAACCATTACTGTTTCTTAGATTGCTGTCTGTTTGGAACTTCTAACTAGGGGTTAGCAAACTGTTGCCCACAGGTCACACTGAGCCTGCCATCTGTTTTTGTAAGTGAAGTTTCACTGGAACACAGCTATACTTACTTGTTTACAAATTGTATATGGCTACTTTCTTGTGACATCAGCACAGGTGAATAGTTGCAACACAGGCAGTATTTAGCCTGCAGAGCCTAAAATATTTACTACCTGTCCCTTTACAGAAAAAGTTTGCTGACCCCTGCTCAGGTCACTGATTCTGGTTAGTTCTGTTTGATGGTATGTGTTAACTATTGTTGCGAACTCTCTCTGTCAGTTGTGTTTGGGAGATGTCCTGGTGTTATACCGTGGAGCCCAGTGTGCACCGTGTGAGAATGCATACCTTTTTTGTTTTTCTACCGGCCAACGTGCAGGATTTCCTAAGTGTCTAGTACTTGCAACTTTTCAGGTCAAGCTGTTTACATGGACTGATATCTTTCTGTTTCAGCATGATACATGTCCTATATGTAGGAAGAGCTTAAATGGTGAGGACTCTACTTGGCAAACCCAGAACTCTGAGGCCTCTGCAAGCAACAGATTTAGCAGTGACAACCAGCTACATGACCAATGGACTTTCTGAAGCTAAAGACCACTTCTGAGCCAGGGCTGTGGTAGTCTTCTTACCACAGCTGTGAATTGTATCAAAACAAAAAAATAGTAGGTGGATTTAGGAATCGTGTAAGAAACCCCAACCCATAATATTAATGCAGAGTGTTTTCTTTCAATTTAAAGTTAGCATCAATAGATGGAATTGTATCCACAACCAAATGCCTCTTATTCCTGAATTCAGAGTGATAATTTTATAAATGTGAAACTTAATTATGTGGGTTTCCTCCTGCCAGAATAGAATTAGTTCCTTAAAGTCTAGCTAGGGTTCTGCTCTTTGTCATGTTACCTTGTAATGGATGTTTTCACCTCCTTGTCCAGCCTCCACCCTACCATTAGTGTATGTTACAGTAAACAGTGGAACCAGAGCCCTAAAATCCTACTGATGTAAAGTCCTTCTGTTTTAATTGTACAAAAGCATATACTCTTGGCCACATTAGCTGTGAATTAAGGTCAGATTAATTCAGGAATCTAAGACTAATGATTTTGATTATTTTTGAACCTCCAGACACCAAATCAAAGAACAATTACAGTGGGAAGGAGAAAGTGACTTATCATTATGCTCGGGTTTTCTCATTTTAATGTTTAAAGACTACTTCAAAAGATGCAGTTTCTGCAGAAACCAACATAATATGCCTTCAGGGTCTTCTGTTGGTAGGAATCTAATTCTAGTTCCTTTTTGCAAAAGATTTGTGCAGCATACAAGCAAAGAAGGACAGATGTTTGAAATCTTTGATTCTGAAGTTTTTTAATCCCCAACTCTCTCTTTACTGCTTTTTGTCCAATAATTTTCCTCATAGAAATGGAATGACTTTATTACTGCTTCTATTCACTGTTTTTAGTAATTCATTGGCCTTTAGGAATTGAGATTTTACATTGTCTTATTTTAATTTTTTAAGCCCTTTAATTATCTCTGTAACCTCTCTGCTTGGTTCTGGCTATACTTAGAATCAAACTGATTATTATGATCATGCCCAAAACAACTTTGTCTAGGAGAGGTAGGTCTTAATATTTTTAGCCTAACAGTGTCCCATGTACACGCACATGTTGTTTGGTACATTTGAAGATCATAAATGTCTTTGGAGTCTTAGTGTCTCAAAAAGAAATGATGGGACATGTAATCACTGTTGGTACACCAAAAAGGGTTACAGAAGGACACTGTGTGGTCATATCAGCCCTTCATAGTTTGGAATGATCAGAACAAGAAGGTCACTTTTTGGTGAGTCTCTTTCTTGGCTCCTCTCTTTTCTTAGTTTTTGTTGACTATCATGCACTATACTCTGATTTGGGGGGGTAGGGAAGGGGGCTAGAATTATCTTTGTACTTCAGTAGATGGAAAAGGAGTAGTGGAAGGAAGAGAGAAAGTGGAAAAGTGGCCTGCTGAATTAATAGCCTGCCTGTGAAAGTTGTGACCATAAGGTATAATCAGGTTGGGCCCAGAGGAAATAAAAGATGTTTTTTTTTCATATGCCTCTCATGTCATACCTCTGTGGAGCTTGTTTCTTTGGAGAATGTGAGCAATTAACTAAGGCTATTGAAATCTATCTCCCAAATAAACACTGCTTTTGAATGGGAAATGAGGAAGCTGGAGGGAGGTGTGAAGGTATATTATGAATATTTAATGGCCACTGTCAACTGTCTCAGAAAAATTGTGACAGCCTGGAAAACTTTGTCTGCCTGTTAAGTGTCTGGAGATGGCAGGACATGGATTTGTATTTTTACTTACAACTAGAGAGCTAGATAGTATCTGAATAGCTTCACGAAAGGATAGAAACAAGTGCTGGAATAGGGATTTACTTTTTCAATACACAGTAGCAGGTAACAGTCTAAATTATCTGAAATTTTGCTCTGATAGATAGAGGACATGGCTGTTTCCCAGACCCCCTCCCACTTAATGAATCTGTAGTGTTTCTTCCTTAAAATAGGAGGCATCTCAGACTTCCAGGTTAATTTAGGTTAAGGGGGTATATTTGGTTATCTAGAAAAGCAGAACTAATAGGATATATGTGTGTTTGTGTATATACATGTATAGATTTTTAATGAATTTGCTTATGTGATATGGAGACTAAGAAGAGAGACCACCATGTCGTTCCAATTTTATTTCAAACACCTGAGTATAGGTGAGTTAACGGTGTAAGTTTCAGTCCCAAAACTGGAAGATTTGAAACCCAAGAAGAGCTGATGTTTTACTTTGAGTTCAAAGGCAGGAAAGAACTGATGTCCCAACTTAAGCAATCAGGCAGGAGTTCCTCCTTGCTATTAGGACTGTCAGCCATTTTGTTCTGTTCAGGCCTTCAACTGATTGGATGATGCTCACCCATATTAGGGAGGGAAATCTGCTTTCTTCTGTCTACAGATTCAGATTTTAATCTTATCAAAAAGACCCTTATAGACACTCAGAAATAATGTTTGACCAAATATCTTGGCATCTCATGGCTGAGTTAGGTTGACACATAAAATTAACCATCACCAGAAGGAAAAATAGAAATGATACACACAACCCAGCCGGTTTGGCTCACTGGTTGAACATCGACACATGCACCAAGAGGTCCCTGGTTGATTCCTGGTCAGGGCACATGCCCAGGTTGTGGGTCTAATCTTCAGTGGGGGGCATGCAGGAGGCGGCCAATTGATGTTCTCTCTGATCGATGTTTCTCTTTTTCCCTTTCCCTTCCTCTGTCTCTAAAATCAATAAAGAAAAAATACTAAAAAGAAAGAAAGAAAGAAATAATATACACAGCAGAATGATCCCTATCCTACTTAAGTTGTGCCAAATTAACTGTGTATCTCTAGAGGAATACCTGTCTTTCTTAGAGACCTTAATACTAGGGTTAAACAGTAGAAGAAACATACATGGGATGAGGACCAGTTTGCTGTGTGCATCATAGCTATTTTTCTCTTCAATTTAAATTAACCTGGAAGTCTGAGATACCTCCCATTCTACCAAGAAACATTGCGGATTCATTGGTCTAACACCACATATCTGGGATTGAGAGTTTGTTTCTAGGAATGCCTTACTCTTAAAGTGTCAAACACAATTTAGATATAGTGCCTAAGGCAGAGGGCTACATAACCCAGACTTTTCAGGTTTTTAATTCTTTTATAACTGAAAGGCTTACAGACTCAGGAATCTGGAGCCTTATGGGAGTAAAGAGAACACCTTTCTCTGATTGTCAAAGGGAAAAGAAAACATGCAATTTCAGGACTTGAGGCCTTTACATTCATATTAAATGGCCTACACTTTGAGTCCCATGCAGAGCTATAAACTGATTGTTTTCTTATTCATGATTGTCTTTATGTTTCTCTTGTCTGTTATAATCTGAAATAAAAGGGAAGAAAACTAGCAGAGCCTTCCTAGAAATTGGTAGAGTTGAAAGTTGAGAGGTTATATAAGGCAACTCCTTTTTGGCCTCCAAGTGATTATTGCTTCTCAGGTAATTTCCCATATGGGTTAGTGTAAGTCATGTTCATATGGGTTAATTCTGGTTGGACTGAATTGGGCAGTTGGGTGGGAAGGGCCAAGTGGTGACTTTTAGCCGATAGAGTTCTGACATCTTGAAAGTCTAAGCTAATATGTTTGGAGCAGGGCGAAGAGGTCATCTTGGCACAAACATTAGTTTTTCTTCAAAGTTTCTAGTGTCAGTGCTCTGAAGAGTTGAACAACTTGCAGAATCCAGAATGATATTTTGTTCTGTTGGTATAGCTCCTTGCTCCTTGATTCTTTTCTTAAAATATTAATTTCTAAGGAAAAGGAATTAATTATTCTAGGTAGAGGATGTGGAAATGGCTACAAATCAAATAGCTTCCTTAGCTCATTGTGAATTCTAGTTGTCAGCATTTGCTGCATAACAGCTGAGCAAGTGCTCATTAGATGTTTCCTTGAGCAGTGCTCTTGGTCTAATCATTACCTCTCAAGTTAGAAGGAAGATTTTGGGGGGACACTTTTCTCCCCAACAAGTGATTGAAATAAAAGGGAAGAAAACCAGCAGAGACTTCCTAGAAAATGGTAGAGTTGAAAGTTGAGGTTATATAGAGCAACTCCTTTTGGGCCTCCAAGTGATTGTTGCAACGATCACTTTGGTTAAGTGGTTATTGGGAGAAAAATTCTTTGTTTATGTCTTTGTATTACACATTCGTGTGTGTGTGTGTGTATTCACAGACACACACATGCACATTTCACTCACTCTAGGAGGAGAAAGGATGTGATTGATGGGCACTGAGATGACTTGCACAGTGGCACAGCAGAGGGCGGGGGCCTCACAGTCTGATACTCATTGTGCCAACACCGTGGCTCTTGTTTTTCTGCAGTTCTCTGTTTTGGGCCACTGTTGGCCTGGGCAAGCACCCTGTTATATAGTGTGGTGAAGGGATTCGGTAGAAGTAAAAGTGTAGTCATTGATGAGGCTTTTGAGGAAAGGGTGTTTATCATCCATTGCTTTATTAAGTTGAAAATATAATTGTTAAATTTTTTTTTCCTTGATAAATTATTGCTGCCAATTGACTTCTCTCGTGACTTGGATGCTTCAGTTTCTTTCTCCCTGTTGCCCAGGTGCTATTTCCTCAAGGAATACGAGTTAAATATATCAGTCTAATGAGGAGGGAATCATCATCTGTGTCTGTTGTAAACAATAATAAAGCAGTGTCTAGGGTTTTGGGAGGGGAAGGGTACTTCAGAGTTGGTTGTTAGAGCTGATCTAGGCAGGCCACTGACATCTGTGAAAGAAGATGAATTTAAGGAGGAAAAGGAGCAGGGCTGGTAAATAGATGATGCTAGGAGAAAACCCTCTTTGACCTCTGGTGGAAGAGGTGGAAGGTCAGAGTGCTGTTTACAAGAATAAACCAGTGGAGATTTGGGAGTTGGGGGGAGTAGCAGGAGTTCTCTTATTGAGAGTTTCCGAAATGAATCTTGCATAAGTTCTGGTGCAGGTAATAGGGGAAAAGATTTGATGGGGTAAACATTCCAGGTAGCTGTCTTGCTGGGAGGACATTGTAGCTTATAGTAATGTCAGTGTCTCAGCACTCAGGCTGGGATCCACAGGGCTTCTCCAAGAGTTTAAAATAGAATGGTAGAATACAGTGTGTACAGCTAGAGATGTATTCCAGGATCAAAGTAGAGCCCTTGTCTTATCCAAAGGACATTGAGGTTTTGATCTCTCATGCCTGCCAGACAAGTGGAATTACATGCATCCAGCTCTAAGATCTTGCACATATAAACTTGACATTTTGCCGGATTACATTTAGAAGGTTTCTACCAAGTGGAGTCTGTATGTTGCCTTTCCTCTTTCAGCTAGTATACTTATATCTGTGAATTATGGGATGTAGGCTTGTGGTTCTTTACATTTTCTAATAAGATATACCATTTTTTAAGATCCAAAAATTTTTAGATTCCTTCCCAACAAGATGATAGTTGTA